GATTTTTTCGAAACTTGTTCCAATACCTTTGTATATGTTTGAAAGTAGCAAAAAATAGCGGGATCTTCAAGTGAAGTAGCATAAAATTCGCGAAGTAGCTATAGGATAAAAAAAGCTGCGAAAAATTTTAAAAAGTAGCAAAGTTCGCGGAAAATCGCACGATCTGGCAACACTGGTCACTGGTCTATTATCGATAATACTTCATTATTTTCTTTATTATCGCCTTTTCATTCTTCAATTAATTCACTTAATAAAATTATTCATTCTAAAAAAAATGGGAATTTAATTTTGTATTGTTAATATTCCTGTAAAAACGTTTGAACTTTTTACTTAATAAATTAAATTCATGATAAAGTTTTTAAATAAGAATTATCTTCAATTACCATCAAAACTTTTCGAGGAATAACAAGTATACATTTATTAAAAGTTTTTAAACAATGTATTCACAATTTTTTGGAGTAATTCATATTTAATAAATTGTTGTTTAAAAAAAAAACTTTTATAGTGAATCAAACAAAAGAGTAAAAGAATAATTCTTAAAATAAGAATAAAATAATTAACGAGAAAATTAATGTCGTTGTGGTAAAAGCGTGAAATGCTTTGTACTACATTTTTACACTAATTCAGCATTTCGGAACAGAACTAGTAAGAAATTATAACAATTAATATAGAGCACCCCACGCTTTTACCACAATGACATTAATTTTCTCGTTAATCATTTTATTCTTATTTTAAGAATTATTCTTTTACTTTTTTGTTCGATTCACACTATAAAAGCGTGTTTTTAGTTTTTTTAAAGAACAATTTATTTTTCATTTTTTAGTTCGATTTGCAATAAAAGCCTGCTTTTTAGTTTTTAAAACTACCATTAATTCTTGGTTGAATTTATCCTTGAGTTTGATATTTGGAGCCGGAATTATGTTTCTCCTGGAATTAGTCTTGCTCTTCAATGGATATTAATTAAGGGGTATGAAGGGTATTTATTCTCTCCGTTTACGGGGCCTCGGATGAGCCCCCTATCATTGTATTTCTAAGATCCCGTCTCAATAGATACAGGTCTTAACTAATAAAAGTGTGTTAAGAAGTATTAAATATCAATCTTATATCACCTTTTAAACGTATTGCGAAATGTTAATTCATATCATGACTTCTAAACATATTGCTTTCTCAAAATAAATATTTAGCAGTTAGAACATAAATTATTTTTGTTCCCGTTTTTGCGGTTTTAGGGTTGCACTTTAATCTTTTAGGAGGTAAATCTGGAATTAGTCATCAAATCTAGAAATAGCATATGGAATTAGTCGCCAAATCTGAAAATGGTTTATGCAATTACTCGTTAAATCAGGAAACGATTTAATGAATTAGTCGCCAAATCTAGAAATTCTTATATTCCTTAATTATTAAGATCCTAATCAGGACAATTAAACAAAATTATGAGATTATTGTATTGCCATCGATCCTTGACAAGTGTGCGAAATTTCGAATTAATCTGACCTTTTCAAGTGGGTAAGAATCGAGTTCAAAGATTCCATTACATACAAGTGAAACTTACAAAAACGTGTTAAAAATATGTTTAATTGCTTTTCAGAATTTGGGGGGAAATTTTAAACTTCCCTTCAGTATTTAAAATGCATATGGTCGTTTCACAAAGCAAGTAGATATTAATTATGCGTAGATTAACTGAATTTAAATACAACATTTATTTAAGTTATAAAATTCTTATTAGAATAATATTTACATACACAGAGAAAGAAAGTTAGAATTAATTTAAATATAAAACAAAATGTGCTTAATTTATGTACAGGTGGTATCTGTTTCAAATTACCTATTATTATTCATTTATTATTTTATCACATCATGTATATCTAAATCCAACAAATATTTTCGCTCGATAATGCCGGTTTCAGTAGATGGACTGTTTTCGGAAATATTTTATGGTACTGATCGTTTTTACCAAAAAAAATTCTTTTATCTGTTATTGCTCTTCTGGTTTTGTTAAGGTATCCGACTATGTTCGGAACCGTGATTTTAAAAAGGCGCATAAATGTATAATTTTCATGATATTTAGTGACACTTAGATTAGAATATATGTATAAAATTGTTTTAAGGACATTTTGACAAAAAAAATTTGAAAATGTTCTCCTTTTGTAAAAAATGCTTCTATTGTAATAATATTTTGCCTGTATATAGCTTAGACCTCTGTACAGAGGCCCAACTAGAATTTTTGGAATATATAACTTAGAAGTGGGTTTATCCGTGTCTTACGTCAACAGAGGGCAGAAATTTTAAGAAAAAAACGCCTATAATTATTTCAATGGGTGGTAACTCTGAAAATAATGTGAATTTTTGAAAAGTCATAGTTGAGCCTCTGTACAGAGGTCTGAGCTATAGACAGGCGAACTATTATTATAATAGAAGCATTTTTCACAAAAGGAGAACATTTTAAAAAAGGGTATTCTAAGTTCATTTTTGGCCAAAATTTTGTATTTAAATAATTTTTTTTTCTAAAAATGTCCTTAAAACAATGTTATACATGTATTCTAATCTAAGTGAGACTAAATATCATGAAAATTATCCATTTATGTGCCTTTTTTAAAATCACGGTTCCAAACGCAGTCGGATACCTTATTTTATAATGCTCGGTATTCACTAAGTAAGTTCTCAGATCTCATCAGAAATTTAGAGACATTTTTTCCTAAGTTTGGATCATTGTTTAAAAATACGATTTTCCTGACGCACCAAGTTTTTAGTGTTTATAAATGTATTGGTTAATGTTGAACAGAATTAGAGTAGAAATTAAATATTCTCCATCCTATTACAATAAATCTGCCGTGGGAAAAAAGGTGTTTTTTTTTTCTTGGACAGTGTTATTTCAAAACCATGTAATAAAGGATAGTGTTAAACGGAGTTGAGTATGTAAAATATTAATTTCTAATTAGGGAAAGAGAGGGTGAGAAAGAAAGTGTGAGAAAAAGAAAAAGTGTGTGAGAGAGAGAGCCCAAGAGAAAGCAGCAGAGAGGGAAAGAGAGAGACCTAGAGAGAGGGATATATATATATATATATATTTATATGTACATGTAGAGAGAGAAGAAGCCCACTGGCTGAGTGGTAGTGTATCGCGCTTCCACACCACAAGTCCGTGGTTCAAAACCCGGGCTTGGCAGGTCGACTCAGCCTTTCATCCCTTCAGTGGTTCGAAAGATGTGTACCAAGATTGCTTGGGAATTGAACACAGGGGATCTCGCGTCAGACTGAACACTTGTCCGAAATATCTGCACATGCATCCCAGCGCCTAAGGTCACATAAACTGAGGCACAGTAGGCCTTAGTCCTCATGATCTATTGCGCCGCTGAGTTCAGTTCAGAGAGAGATTTTATTTTTACTTTTTATACAAATTTTAAACTCCAGAAATTCAAAATTCCTGACTCTTACGACAATTAAAGGATGATTCTGATTATTTTGTGGGTAACACTTGATTATGGGCAATGATTCGTGTAGCAAAAGAAATTTAGCATTTCTGTCCATCATATTAATGAATGGAAAGAAAGAAATCTAGTGTAGTTACTCATGCGCAACACATACTTGAACTCTGTAGAAATTCAATTTTTATCAAATGAGGACAAAACTGTAAAAATGCGAATTCAAGTGAGTGAAAAACAACATCTTGGATACGCTTTGTAGCTCGTGAATCCGTGATTAGCGATGGTCGATGAACATTGATAATAGGTTTATAGAAAATGTGAAAGGAATTGCAAATGAGAAAATTAAAGAGCTCAATGACATGACAAGGATTCTTTTCATTGCGTCATTTTTGATGGGTCAGTTTTTATATTGACAGCTTATAAAAAGTTAGATACATTAGAGTAGTCTTAAGATATTTATTCAAAACACACAATTTTAAATCACTGCAAAAGTTGGAAAATTTGAAATCTTTCCTTATTTTTACGCTCAAAGTATTCTACTTTGTTAAAGGAGGACCGTTGTTAATACACAAGAACAGTTTCATTTTTACGCAGCTGCATTTTTAATTTACTTTGTACTTTACTTTGTAATCTGCTTGGAAAGCAATAGTAATCAAGACATTTCATACAGAGAATCAATACATTTAAAATTTCGGAAAAAAGTAAGAAACAGTTAATTAGAATTTTAGCTTTTTCAATCAACGATTTAGTGTTTATAAAAACGCTTTCAGTAGATTGATTGATAAATTATTTGCATCGCACTCGGACGCAACACAAGTGCTATTTGTGTCTGACCTTGTGATTTTAAACCTAGTGATGCCAAGCGTCAAGGATAACACCTGATTTTAGCACTCTACTCTCCAAACTTCAATACCACACTTACATGAGGACTTTGAGCTTCGAAAGATTCAATGTACATTAGCCTCTAAACATGAGGGGCTTTGCTTGGCACCGAACCTGAACCCACGATTCGAAAAAAAGCAATGTTGGTTTCGATTGATTGATTGTTTTTAAACATTGTACTCACAAGCAACATGAAGCTATTGGTGTCGAGCCTCTTAATTTTGAAAAGATGAGAGCAACATAAAATCTCTGGTTACGATTTTTCAAGCATGATAATTTGGCTATCGCAGCTGTGAACTTTTCGTGGAGAAGAAACAGAATAAATCAATGATCACAACTTTAAAATATGAAGATACATTCAATAGCAGCTATAAATCATAATCTTATACTCATTTTATCATTCAACAAATATTTTTGAGTAAATCCGTTTAATTTTTCAATTCCTACTTTTACTTCCCTCTTTCCCTATATATATATTTATATATATTTTTTTCACATTTTCAATCGTTAATACAATACTTTTTATTCATCCATTTAAGTTCAAATACATTTTTTTAAATTTGTAGGGGATGACACTTCATGTTAATACAGTTTTTCCATCTTTAATTCATTAATGAAATTTAAAAAAATTAACAAATAGTAACAAACAAAAATAATAGTCCAAAAGCATATATAGGAAAAGAAGTTATTCTTTGTGTTCCTGTAGCGCAATGAATAGCGCGTTGGACTTTTAATCCAAAAGGCGTGGGTCCGAACCCCACCTAGAATAGTCTAATTTCTGAGAATGTGATTTCTTTTTACTATACAATTTTATTAGAATAATTAAATAAATTTACGTAATGAATAAATATAACAAACAAAAAATAGTCTAACACCATACATAGAAAGGAAAATGGAAAATTACAAGTAAAATGCTTTCTATTTTGTTCCTTATTATTGTGATTCTGTCATATGTATATATATATATATATATAGGACATTTTTATTTCCGCAAGCGTATTGCAGTTGTTTTAGATGAATTATTTTAGCTATTATTTTATTCATTTGTATTACTTTTTAAAAATTGTTTGTAGTGTTATTGGCAAGAAACACAAATTTGAATGCTGCCAGTGATAATATTTCCATACATATGTCACAAAAGATATGAGTTGAAGAATGATTACTGTATTTCATAGTGTCATTCTTGAATTTATAAATAATCGCAATCATGTTAATTACTTACAGAATTTTTTTACAAATATTTCAAATTTAGTTTTATTGAGTGTAGCTTTAAAGTGAAGGTATTTTCATGAAGTTACTTAGAAAATCTTTTGGAGGTCTATTCTGGCTATCTTCACAAATAATTCGCTCTCTTTGAGAATCACTGCCTTGACACGCACAATATCAAATCATACAGAAAAAGTACCTAGTTCATTCAACAACCAGAGCCAGTTCTGAATGTCTTGCTATAAATACGACAAATTTAAAAGCAACTGTAAATATATATAAAATTTATGGTTTTGAAATTGTAACTTTTATTTAAACATTGATCTTGCAATTATACTTGAAACAATACATTGAGCGGTATAAATATAAATAATATTTTAATAATTTTTTTTAATAACAGCTGGTTTGCACAAATTATACATATGTTTTAATTAGTAGCCAATAATCTGATATTGAAAGCTACCAAGTCCTGAGAATTTAATCGAAAATGAATGTGTTTCCAATGACAGATGATGATGATCTTCAAGATGATGCACTTTATGGACTAGTTCACAATAAATTAGCCATCAATGAAAACTTCATTCTACACCATCACAACTTTTTCTTTCTTAGAAAATGCTCCAAAGAAGGAATGTTATTGAGCAAATTGCACGGCAATTGATGAAAAAACGCTGGTTACCATATTTAAGACATTGCTTTAACATGGCTCTGTTTTTCAAACAGAAGTGTATCTTATATGTTGTATGTAGTTTACTTCTTTAAAATAGACGTTTTCAAGATCACATCAATTTTTCTATTTTGTTCGTAAGCATAGCAACGTTCAGCGCAAAAGTAATGACTTGAGCAAACTTTTCCCTCCCCCTTACCCCATCTATTGGAATTCTTAGAAAATATTAAAATATCTAATTTACAAAACACACGAAATAGCGAAAGAGTGTAGGGAGAAGGAGTATAGAGTAAGAACAGTTTTATTAACGTCTTAACCTACACCAAAACTCTAGGGCTATTGGCGATGAGTTTCGCAACTTTGAACCTCCATCAAAATTAGCCCCATCTCTCCTAACGACCCTACTAACAGACAAGACATTGCACCACGATGTATGTACCGTATATCACTCCTCTCCACACGGAAGGTCTTCAATAGCACCAAGACTCGAACACGTGACACGAGTTCGTGGCCATAACCCCTAGGCTACCAAGGCCACAGAGGAAATAAAGAATGATCTCAACACGTCTATTTTATGAAAGTAAACTAACTTATACAGTGATGATTATTATGGTGATATTCTTTATGGACTAGTTCGGAAAATTAGACCTAGGGTCGAGCCGATTCTTTTACACTACAATGACTTTCACTTCATCAGTTCCTGAGAAAGGCGATTGTTGGATATAGGGTTCGGATGGATTCATTGGTACTACTTGGTATCCAACCATTGGTTGTTGGACGGAAGGTACTGGCATCGCTCCGGGATGACGCAATTGCTGGAACTGGGGCATCGCATGTGATCCATGGTGGTGATGATGATCGTGTTCCTTGTGATGATGGACTGGAATGGGGATGGGAATAAAGATAGGGTGATGGTGATGTCCTCCCTCGTTTTTCTGAAGTACCTTGGCAAGAACCCCTGCTGTTAGTAGAGTGTCCAAACCATTGTTGCGATGTCGATGGTGATGGCTGAAGGCGGTCTTGGGTAGAGTCATCCAGCAAGCCAAGAAAAGAGTTAGCGTCAGAAGGAGACTGCGCAGAATGGCCATTTTTTATATCTAAATCAAGAAACCAGACATTAGTAACACCAGTGACTGAAAATGTTATTCTTTAAGAAAAAACAGTACATTTTAAATATATATATATATATATTTGCTGCTTCAAAGTATTCGTATTCATTTTGTTCTATACTAAAACCGAAGCCGGCTGGATGACCTGATTGGTTTATCGCTGGCCTTCAGCACCTAAGGTTGCCGGTTCAGTCCTGGCCCAAGTCGGTGGATTTTCATGATGCAGAAAATCGACAGCGGCCATGTCGCATGATTATACGTCAAGTAAAACATCCCTAGAGTGTCTGTTTGGCTTGGGTGCTCTCGGAAAAATTAAATCATAGGACAGGTTCGCATCGTCAGAACTCAGGTGCCTCCCTCTAGGGAGGAAACTGAACGTCAAAATTACCTGCGGCGATTGGTATACGCCAATATGGTGCCGCGCGAAAAAGAGATACCAGCTTCGGGAGAATGTACTAGGTCTGCATTGGTACAACACCCATCCGCAGCCTATTAGAAATAAAAAACACTTAAACCAAAAATTTTAGTATTTTGTTGTACCCTTCAATCGGAATTTGCTGGATATCTTAAAAAAGGTAAAATTAATAGAATAAATAAAAGCATTATTCGAAAAATAAGATTTTCTTTGTATTTAAAGACACGCATATCTTACATATTGCATTTATTTATTTCTTGTATGTAAATTAACTATATTCAAATGAATTATTTTTTTCAAATAGATGGGAATTATTTTGTTTTATTACTGAAATGGTCCAATGTATTAAAAAGTATCTTTAATCGTACGATGAAGAACTTTAAAAAAAATCCTGTTGATGTCTTATGGAGTTATTATCAAAATGGGATAAATTCATGGTCACATGACAAATACAATCACGTGTTTTCCACTGATTTCAAAACTGAAAGTAAGCTTGTGCTTTCTGTTCTATTCGTAAAATTTAGGTAACATTTCAGATTTTATAATGGACTAAATTCCTGATGGTCACGTGATAAAGGCAATTACGTGTTCTTCATGGATTAAAAACTGACATACTACTTGTAAAGTTTAGATAACATCTAAAATTTGATGATCAGTTGAAGAGGTTCACGTGTTTTAATTCTTTAAATAGATTTTAAAATAAAAAAAAACTTACATTATACTTTTAAATTAAGCTCATTTTGTTTAACTATGCGCATTATTATCGTTGACAGATGTGTACTTTTTAAAAGAAAGATTCTGCAAAAAGCAAAAGTTAGCAACAGTGAATAACCTGGACTAATGGGCTTAGTTCATGAAGTCACATGATAAAAATAAACTCGTGTTTGCCATTGAATTCAAAACAAACATTAAACTAATTGTACTTGTTCTATTTGTAAAATTCAGATAAAATTTCAAATTTCATATTTGGCTCAAGATATTTAAATTTTAGGGAAAACAATTTCTTCAAAAAGATTTTTTTTAATTAAAAAAAGTCGTATTTTATGCTTAGACTTTTGAATAAAATGCATTTTGTATACACATGTACTTTTTAAGAGAAAGTTTCTGCAAAGAGCAAAACTTGGCAACACCGAAGAGCGTGAACTGATTAGTTGGAAACACAAGATAGTTTTTATCGTGTGACTATGACGTCACAAGAGTTTTTGAATTGATTGGCCAGAATCACGTGGCTTTCACTATCATGTGACTATGACGTCACATGAATTAACCTCATTGGCTGGAAACGCGTGATTACATTTACGATATAACTATGACGTAGCATGAATTTATAAGCTGACTGACTGAAAACACATGACTGAAGTTATCATGTGACTAATGACGTCACATGAATTTATGAACTGATTGGCTGAAAACACGTGACTGAAGTTATCAGGTGAGTAAATGACGTCACATGAATTTAACCCATTGGGTAAAGATGTTCAGGCACTTTTAAAATAAAAATTTCATCAAGAAGTTTTTAAGATTCAAAAAGATATCATAATATGTATTTTTTAAAAGAAAGTTTCTGCAAATAGCAAAAGGTTACGACAGTTAAACGCCTGAACTAATTGGCTGAAAACACATAATTGTATCATGGGACTGTGACGTCACATGAATTTAGCCCAATGTCTCCCTGCACCTCAGAAGTGCCATGTACAACTAGGATTAGCTTGTGAGAGGAAATATAATCCCGCAGAAAAGAGTGTTAGTCTTTATTTAGGATATATAATCCTTGATAAATCTATTTTTGATTGTCTTATGAGTATGGTTCATTAAGCAATACCAAGATCCTATTACTAACATCAATAATAAAATTTATATAAGTTTATAGTGAATTATTGAGAAAAAATTACCACAGTATGCTTTTATAAACGACTTACGAGAAAAGTTTTGAATTTCTGTTTTTATTTAGTTTTGCATTATCATCCAGTATTCAGAAATAATAAAAGTAGTAAAAGGTTTCTATCCAAAAATTCAATTTGTGATTTAGAAGGAATCAAGGAACTTCACTTTTTCAAGTATAAAAACGGCTTTTAAAAATAATGGAAACTTTTACGTTTGTTTAAATACTATTTATAACAGGCAACTTAATTAGGGAAGAGTAACGCTGAATAATATAAAGGACAAAAAATACAAAAACCTTAATTTTCAAAAATTTTAAGTCAATCTATATAATAACCAGTATATATGAAATGAATAAATATTACTCCACTTATCATATTTATAATCACTATAGCTTTACCGGCTGTATTTTCAAATACACAGAGTCACAGATCAATTATGAATATTGAATTTTTTTAGTCATAATTTATCTCTTTTGAAGAAATGGGAAT